CTCGGCTGGGCGCACAGCATTCAGTGTGTCAGTTAGTCCTGTATGGGCAAGCTCTATGTCACTAGAATATAACTCAGGGGCAAAACCAGTTAGATTTGATAACAAGGGTTATGGGTAATTTATGTAGCAGTGAATGAGAGACTAATGTACAATTAATGTAATTACATTTCGTGACTGGGCATGTTCCAATTAGTATCCTACAGTATATTGGCCACCATACCCTTCAGTAACACATGTCTGCCAATCTGAACTCTGCTTCTGAATATATTCTTTCGCTGTAAAGTATGAAAGATAGAATAGTGTAATGATAATAATAAGGTGGACAAATATTGAATGGCCCTTAGCTTTAACCTACAAGCTGGTCGCCTCCTTTACTTGTGGACTACGCATAGTTGGAGTCCTAATTACAGGCGGCACTACATAGGCTGGAACATCCAAATTCCAGCTCAGTATTTGGGTGACATAGGCCACCAAGCCTCTAAGCATGTAATGAAAGATAACATAGTATAGATTATACAATCAAGATAGAAAAAAAATGATAGGAAGTTACATAGAATCATTGGTGATTGGAGAATAGAAAACCATGAAAGCAAGTGCATAGATGACTTGCTTAACTTGACAGAATTGTGTAGTAGTCTTGTATTACTCACCTTAGCCAGTCCTCATGTAGATATGCATATCTCTCACCAAAGCTAGTACTTTAGGAGACAATATAACCTGCTTAAGCCCATTTCTGGATAAAAGAATTCAAGTTGTATCTTATTCCAATCTTATCTGATTTAATTAGTTGAGTCCATACAATGGATTTACCATATTGTATTTATTGAAATTAAACTATGGGCCGTGTGTAATGAAATTGAACCCCAGGCCATTTGTATATGATAAAATTGTGTCCCCAATCAGCCCACATGCTGCAGAAGAGGATGACATCTTCATTTCTAAGCCCAAGGAAGAGGACAGTGAGAGCACCAATGAAGGAGTGCAGGATGGCGATGAGAAGGTGCATGCCAGACTGCTCAGTAACATGAGCAAGATCAGCAAAAAGAAGTAAGTAATTTGATATTGTGGGGAGTGAGAGAATCTGTATAGGATGGGCCAAGTTTAGGATTCCAATATATTTCTATGAGTTTCAATCTCAGATACATAAACTTTTTGATAGGCTCAAATCCCTGAACACTAGCTCAGTGCTCAGGTGCTTTAGTCTATTAGGATTTGAGCAGACAGTACATATTAACATTAGAATGTAACCTATTTGTTGATAATTACTTTTTCTCCCCAATCAGCTTGAGTGCTGGAAAAAAGAAGCCACATGCTAGACTGCTCAGTGATGTGAGCAAGGTCAACAAGAAGTAAGTATTTGATTTTTTTGTAGAAAGAAAGAGAATCTGCATAGGCTGGTCTGAAATTTAGATATGTGATGTATTTCTGATTGTTGAGGGCACAAATATATAAACAACTTGATAGACTCAAAATCCTGAACACCAGCTTAGTACTTGTGTGCTTAAGCCCAATGAGCCTTTGAGCACACATTGGAAGAGAGTATAGTATAAATTACATGACCATCCTCAAAGATTATATAATGATTCATGAAAGGAAATGTAGTATTTTTATTCTTTGCAAAGAATTACTGAAGAATAAAAAACTTTGTAATCAAGTGTGCAGACGATCTGCATCACTCGGCTAAGCCAGTGATTATTTACATAATTGTCTTGTGTAACTCACCTTGGCCAATCCTCTTGTGTACCTGGTTATCTCACCCAAACCAATGCCCTTGTAGACCTGCATTACTCATTTGAATTAATATTTCCATTGGGAGTCCATTTAACTTGCCTAAGTCAAATGCTTTCTTTGCATTTTTTTTTTTAATCCTTTCAGACTGAACTTCTTGCATGAGTAAGGTAGATGTGGTATATTGTGAGTATTGAAATTGAACAATAGGCCATTTGTGGATAAAGATTTCTTCCAAATCAGCCTGCGTGCTGCGGAAGAAGATGACATCTTCATCTCCAGGCCCAAGGGAGAGGACGGGGAGACCAGCGATGAAGGGGGGGATGAAGGAGATGAGAAGGCACATGTCAGACTGCTCAATGACATGAGTAAAATCAGCAAGAAAAAGAAGTAAGTGTTTTGATTTAGTAGAGATACAAACAAAAATGATGAGAGGAAATCTGTAGAGGCGGGGCTGAAGTATAATAATCTGATGTATGCACACATGCACTCATATTTACACACACACACACACACACACACACACACACACACACACACACACACACACACACACACACACACACACACTCATTTACACACACACACTCACTTACACACACACACTCACTTACACACACACTCATTTACACACACACACTCACTTACACACACACACTCATTTACACATACACACACACTTACTTACACTTACACACACTCACTTACACATACACACACACTCACTTACACATACACACACACTCACTTACACATACACACACACTCACTTACACATACACACACACTCACTTACACATACACACACACTCACTTACACATACACACACACTCACTTACACATACACACACGCTCACTTACACATACACACACGCTCACTTACACATACACACACACTCACTGCACACACACACTCATTTACACATACACACACACTCATTTACACATACACATACACACACTCATTTACACATACACACACACTCTTTTACACATACACACACTCATTTACACATACACACACACTCATTTACACATACACACACACTCATTTACACATACACACACACTTACACACACTCACTTACACACACACACACACACACACACACACACACACACACACACACACATACACACACACACACACACACACACTTACACACACACTTACGCTTACACACACACACTTACACTTACACACACACACACACTTACACTTACACACACACACACACACTTACACTTACACACACACACTACACTTACACACACACACTTACACTTACACACACACACTTACACTTACACACACACACTTACACTTACACACACACACACTTACACTTACACACACACTCACACTTACACACACACACACACTTACACTTACACACACACACACTTACACTTACACACACACACTTACACTTACACACACACACTACACTACACACACTTACACTTACACTACACACACACACACACACTCTTACACTTACACACACACACTCTTACACTTACACACACACACTCTTACACTTACACACACACACACTTACACTTACACACACACACTCTTACACTTACACACACACACTCTTACACTTACACACACACACACTCTTACACTTACACATACACACACTTACACACACACACACACACTCACACACACTCACACACACTCACACACACTCACACACACACTCTCTCACACACACACACTCACACATGCGCACATACACATATACAGACACTCTCAGATACACAAGAAGTATGTTCATCTTTTCTTGTTGTTTTACAGCCAAGCGGCAAAACGAGAAGTTCGCACAACAGTTGGGACAGTAACAGAGGAAATTAAGGCTGAGGATCTCATGAACCGCATTGGATCATCACTTCTCAGCCAGACAAACAAAAAATTCAAAACAACACAAAAACCTCTAGAGAAACATGTTGCTCAGAGGGTAAGTTTATTTTGAATACTATTGTATGTTGTACTGACTGGAAGTTGAAAAACTTAGCAGCCATAATCATTTATATCTGCTTGAGAAGGATGCCATTTGTTCCCCAAAAAATGAAATTAGCATTTTCTATTTTCAGTTTTTATGAAAACAGAAAAGGCTTTATTGGGAAATCTGCACTGAAGTGGTTGAAAAGGATCTTGAATATGGAAAACACAGTATTACCTCTTTTCTTCTTTACTGTAAATAGGTGAAGCGAGCTGCAGGCTATGAGGATGTGGCAATGGAAGTGAGCAAGTGGGCCAAGGTTGTAGAACTGCGCCGCGAAGCTGACACACTGAGTTTCCCCCTCAAGAAGAAAAACACTGAGTTTAGCACAGTGGACAAGGTCGAGCCACCAAAGTTGAAGACAGACTTGGAGCATGAGGTTTATTCCCTCCTTGAGGGAGCCAAGTTGGTTAAGAAGCAGGTCAGTTGAATATCACCCTGTCAAAGAAATGCTATATATTTTAGTACAAAGCAAAGAAAAGTCAGGTTAGATACAGATAACTGCTGTATTTTGCAGTTGTGCAAGTGCAAAAAGAATTTTTTTAATTTTGGAATTAACCATTTGTTGTCCATAGCAGTGATGAATATTGTAAGTAAAGAAAAAAAAACATTCAAATTAAATAGGGTATTTTCTTCACAGCAGTTAGGTTTTTATTTAACTATTATTGATATGTGAAAGCCACTTTTGCATATTCTGAGAAAACCCATTCCCTGCCCTCCCACAGGAAACAGAAAGGGAGAAAGCCATTAAACATGCCATGTCCCTTGAGGAGGTGAAGGAGAGAATGCGTGCCTTGTGGCGCGAAAAGGAAATGAAGCACCGCTACGAAGAAAAGGCTCGTAGACAGAACCAGAGCAAGAGCAAGAAGTGACTATGCATTATTTTCTTTTTTATGTTAAGGAACTACTCGCTTTCACACACTGGGCCTTGACTTGCATCCCAAGTCTGCCTTCAAAGGCAGTCAGGGAAGCAAAATTTTCTAAGGCTACTTCTCATGAAATGAGACTGCATGTGAGGGTCAGTGAGTGGCCTCTGTTTTATGCATTCCTCACTGAATCTTAGAAGCTCGTAGTAAATCTGTTGATAGAGATATGGGCTGAACTCACTTTTATTTTGCCCAAACCTATTCAACCTCTTTGGTATTATTGAATGACTAATCAACAATGAATTTAATCTGATAAGTAGTTTTGATATAAATTGCATGTCAAACCTCCTACCATGCCATCTCTTTGCTCACTGCTGAAAAGCTTGTTCCTCATATCTTTATTTTATTTTGTTTTTTTTCTTCTTCTTTCCTCATATCTATATAATAGCTATACCAGTGTTTACAAACAAGGTTATCATGTGAGATCAAAAGGGAGGTCAAATGTTCTGTTTGTCTGTCTCTCTCTCTCTCTCTCTCTCTCTCTCTCTCTCTCTCTCTCTCTCTCTCTCTCTCTTTCTCTCTCTTTCTCTCCTCCTCTCCTCTCCTCCCTCCCTCCCTCCCTCCCTCCCTCCCTCTCCCTCCCTCCTCTCTCCTCCCTCCCTCCCTCCCTCCCTCCCTCTCTCTCTCTCCCCTCTCTCTCTCCCTCTCCCTCCCTCCCTCCCTCCCTCTCTCTCTCTCTCTCTCTCCCTCTCTCTCTCTCTCTCTCTCTCCCTCTCTCTCTCTCTCCTCTCTCTCTCTCCCTCTCTCTCTCTCCCTCTCTCTCTCTCTCTCCCCTCTCTCTCTCTCTCTCTCTCTCCTCTCTCTCTCTCTCTCTCTCTCCCCTCTCTCTCTCTCTCTCTCTCCCCTCTCTCTCTCTCTCTCTCTCCCCTCTCTCTCTCTCTCTCTCTCTCTCTCTCTCTCTCTCTCTCTCTCTCTCTCTCTCTCTCTCTCTCTCTCTCTCTCTCTCTCTCTCTCTCTCCCTCCCTCTCCCTCTCCCTCCCTCCCTCCCTCTCTCCCTCTCTCCCTCTCTCTCTCTCTCTCTCTCTCTCTCTCTCTCTCTCTCTCTGTAAAGGGTTATAGTTGAACCTCTAAACATTGGTGACAGAAATAGTAAAAAGCTTGGGTGGCTTTACACTCTTTATTCTGTAAAAGCTAGCACATGACATATGGTTTAACACAGTGACGAGAATCTTGGGTAGCGCGTGGTTAGTGGGAAGGCCCGCTGGTCAGCCCTGACCTGAGCCAGACAGGCGTCAACCTTGGGTCATCCAGCAGACTTTCCTCAAGGGTGACCCAACCTGGCTGGTCCTAACTCGTCCTCGATCTCGCGTGCATTATCCTTGGTGCATCTCTGTGGCTGCCTGTCCTTGTCATCATCCTCGTCCTGGTCCCTGGTAATCCGCTCGTCCTCAACATCCTCACGTCCTCGACTGGTCTCGCGCAGGTCCTCCTTGATTCGGATTCGCCCAGAATTCCTCGTAGTCCGTGTACAGGTCTAACTCGGCGGCTTACTTGCCCAATGCACGTCACGCAGATCTCCGTCCAGGTCCTTATCGGCTGTGTGCTCGTACAGACTTCCTCGTAATCGTCGTCAGGATCTACGGGCGTCCAGCAAGAAGCATCCTCTTCGACATCGCAGGGCGGCTGATACCTGTGCTGACGAGCTCCTGGAGTTTGACTGGATCTGTGGCGTCCAGGCAGGCGGCGCACGTCCACAGTATCATGGGACAACGAAAATCTGCGCTGGCGAGATCCTGTCTTCGCCGGATCTCCGGGCATCCTGGCAGGCAGCGCCCATCCACATCCTGGGGCGGCTCTGATGAGCATCCTGGTCTCCAGGCTTCTGGTGATCTTCCAATGACGTTTTTCAATGGCTTCCAAAGGTGACCGATTCTGCAGCAGGGCCTCCTTCGGTGCCATTTCAGATATCATGAACCAGATTAACACATTATGGGCCAGATAGTGAGAGAAAGAAAAACAACAGAAAAGAGAAGGTGTTAAATGCTACTAGTCAAATTTTGCTTTATAATTTGCAGTTTTTAAGGTTGAATTTTCATTATTTTCGTCTTTTTTTTTTTTTTTTTTTTTTTTTTTTTTTTTTTTTTTTTTTTTTTTTTTTTTTTTTTTTTTTTTTTTTCATTTTCTGTTTTATGTTCACAAGTCAAGTTAAAAGAGGAAAATAGAAGAGGGAGATGGCAATAGCGATCCGCGAGGACCTAGCTTGAACTACCAAAACATCTCTTGATAGATACGAGAATAAAGTAAGGTAAACGACAATTGGCAACCTACAAAGGCCTACTTGAACCATTGTTGAACTTGAAAGAAAAGTATATTGGCGTCGACTACCTACGGGAGGCAAGAAGGGGGAGGTGTTGCTTGGGAAACACGGACCTAAGCACTTGAACATATAAAAATGACTGGCCCGTAGCACATAAAGGGGGGTACAGAAGAAAGGAATTTAGCCCTTGTGCACTTACGCAGCCCTGTAGAATTGCCGACGACGATTATAGTAATTGATGAGTGTCAATGAAAGTAAGAGTGACCTCATGTAGAGCAGTAGTGTTGCCAACATGTTGAATAAAGTTAATTTTAACAATAATACGACTAATTATTTATAGACATAATGCAAAATTATTTCAACTACCACATTGAATTTAACATTTAATGATATGCGACAGAATGACACATTAATGAATGGTGACGTGAAAATTATTCGCAAGCTTCTTCGCGAGCAAATCTTCTTGGGATATGCCGAGGAAGTAATTATGTCTTCACATGAATCACAAACCGATGGGATCTACTCAACATGCCAAGGGACATTTAAACGTGTGAGCGGGGTGTGATTAATTAGGAAATGGCAAGCTGTTCTCTCAGCCATAACACTCTGTCAATCACTCAAGTTAAAGTGAGGTCAGAACTCCCCCAGCTGTCAGCCGGGCTGGCTTATTAACTTTCAGGTGAGGTCAGGTCAATACAGGAAATGGTGAGAGAAGAATGTAATGAATGAATATTCTTGAAAAGAATAAAATCACGAGCACGCTAAATTCGCTGTAATTGAAACAACATGATCTAATCACGGAAAAATTAAATAGACACTTAATAAATGAACGATATTCCTAATGTTTGACTTCATACTCTACCACACAGTAATGAGATGTGAGGTCAGAAAATGAGAAATGAGAGCGTGCCATTTTGACCACTTTGCACTTTAACCCAACAAGAACCTAACATGAGCATGGCTGTCACGGCTTAACACATTTAGAGACAAGATAGAAAGGAAATGAAAGGAGA